GGAGGCTGAGGCAGGAGGATCGCTTGAGCCCAGGAGTCTGAGGTTGCTGTGAGCTAAACCGACACCATAGCACTCTAGCCTGGGCAACAGAGTGAGACTCTGACTAAAAGAAAAAAAATGATCTCAAATCAACAACTTTACACCTTAAGAAACTGAAAAAGAAGAACACACTAAACCCAAAAATAGCAGAAGGAAGGAAATAATAAAGATTAGAGCAGAGATAAATGACATAGAAAATAGAAAAACAATAGAGAAAATCAATGAAACCAAGAGTTGGTTCTTTGAAAACAACAACAAAATTGATAGTGCTTTAGCTAGATTAACTAAGGAAAATAGAGAAGACTCAACTAAGAAATGAAAGAGGGACATTGCAACTAATTTTACAGAAGTAAGGATTATAAGAGAATACTATGAACAACTGTATACCAACAAATTGGATAGCCTAGATAAAATGGACAAATTCCTAGAAACACACAACCTGCCAAGACTCAATCAATAGTCATATAACTAGTAAGAAAATAGAGCCTTCCAACAATGAAAAAAGCCTGGGAACAGATGGCTTCACTAGTATGTTCTACCAAACATTTAAAAAATTAATACTAATCCTCCTCAAACTTTTCAAAAACTGAAGAGGAGGGAACACTTCAAATTCATTCTGTGAGCCCAGAATATTATCCTGATACCAAGGCCAGATATAGATACTACAAGAAAAGAAAACTACAGGCCAGAATCTTATATTGGTGTAAAATATTCAACAAAAATCTAGCAAATAATTCAACAGCACATTTAAAGGATTATAACACCATTACCAAATGGGATTTAATTCTGGAATGCAAGAATGATTCAACATACCAAAATCAATATAGTTAAGATGTCAATACTACAAGGCAATTTACAGATTTAATGCAATCCCTATCAAAATCCCAATGGCATTTTTTGCAAACATAGAAAAACCCATCCTAAAATTCATATGGAATCTCAAAAAGCCTTGAATAACCACAACGGTCTTGGAAAAGAAGAACAAAGTTGGAGGACTCACACTTTCTGATTTCAAAACTTAGTTACAGTGTAAAACAAAACTATAGTAATCAAAACAGTATGGTACTGGCATAAAGACAGACATAAACTGATGGAATACAATAGAGAGCCAGAAATAGATCATCACATATATGGCCAAATGATTTTCAACAAGGCTGCCAAGAATATTAAATGGAGATAGAACATATAGATTCAACATATAGTGCTCGGACAACTGTATACCCACATGCAAAAGAATGAAGTTGGACACTTACCTTTTACTATATATAAAAATG